AGAGAGAGAGAGAGAGACAGAGACAGAGAGAGAGACAGAGACAGAGACAGAGAGAGACAGAGAGAGACAGAGAGAGAAAGAGAAGAGAGGTGGGGGTGACAAAAAGAGATCAACAAAAAAGGAGAAGCCGGTAGTGGGGGGCGGAGGGAAGAGGTATCAAAGAGAGATAAATACAAATTCAACCAGGGTAAAAAAAAAAAAATATCTAACCTGAGGTTTTCTCCCCCTTCCCCAACTTCGTGGTCCAGCTGCTGTGGTAAACTCTCCACAAACAGTTTCAGGTGAGAGTGTTCGAGAGCTGTCCATATGTCCTTGTCAGTTTTCTCTCCAAACGGGTCCAAGTTGTCTCGAAGTGTGCCAACAAACAGCACAGGTTCCTGCAGAGAGTTAAGTCATAATGTTAACCCTTTGAGGATGTGCATTCTCTCCCCAGCCACCACACAGTTGTTATTGATTTAAATTCCATCAAACGTATTATTTTTTTATGCCCCCCTGAACATAATTTAGATTATTTAGGAGGAGGGCTGTTTTGAACTTGCCTATCTGGAGCAACCTGGGCTGTGTGGAAGTAATTTCACGACAGAGAGATACCTGATAAGAAAGCTTATCTACTATCTTCTTTTTCTTTGCGTTCTCCAGCTGGATCTTGGGGGTTGTTGATTACTGATTCCTCAACCTGCAGTGCAACTGATGTTTACGTATGTGACCGTTTTTTCCTATTCAATAGGGCCCTTTGCCTTCAGGCAGCCACATTCCGATTTTGAAGATTGGTACTCTACATGTTTTTATTCTGACTAGAGTATTTTCAAAATTGGTAGAAAGTAATTTTTTATTTTGTCTGGGTAGCGGCCTTAGCCTACTCTTATCAATTTTAGGACCACCAAAGGCTTTAACATTTGCAACTTGCACACAAGACCTCCGCGATTTTTAGTAGAAAGAGTCAAATGTAAAAACGATAAGCCCAGGGTAAAGGGCTGAAAAGGAGGGGGAGGGGGAGAGGGGGGAGCAGAAAGTGGACATGAAAGCAGTTGACAGAACAAGACTAGAGAACAAGACAGAAGGTGAAAGGAAACAATTTTACCCCCAACATTTTTTTGGCGCTGTCAGGTTTCGAACCCGGGACCTATACACTGAGAGGTGAACACCTTACCTCTAGACCTCAAGAGCCCCTCCTTATCCACTTATGATAATAAACGTATGTTTTCTGAGTGTGATGGCGCATAGCCCAACCATTACATTATAAGTGTCAGCAACCGTGGTTGTAATGTGTGGTGTATTTTATCTCTTTCCTCTGGTGCCAGATTTAAAATAGACGTTTGCTTCTCATTTCTCTGTTTGGATATTTTGAAGATTCCCACATTTTTATTATTTTATCTCTTCCTATTTTGCCTTTTGTTTATCTATTTTACCATGTCTTTGCTCTCACCTGAGGCAGAATTGTGACGTTCCTGCGGAGAGTGTGTAGCCCCAGGCTAGCAATGTCTAGTCCGTCAATCAGGATCTGACCACCGGCTGATTCGATGAGTCGGAACAGTGAGAGGACCATGGAGGACTTGCCTGCTCCTGTACGACCTACAATACCCACCTGAATAAAAAGCAACCCAAAATCAAACAGTTGTGAGAGAATGCCATTGTAGAAACGAACTGTAAGAACAGTGCATGTGCACATAGTCTGATTTAACGTCAAAGTATAAAAATTGTGCCGTCATATCATTAGGCAGCATAGTTTCAAATAAATCTAGTTTCAAATATGATCTCAGAGGGTGCATTATTAACTCAGTTAGCATCATGCTGGACTTCAGACTCCAGAGCGATTGGCACTGATTCAAATCCCCAATCGGCCATTCCGAACTTGGGTTATTTTGTGGAGCTGTTAAAGCTCTCTGCCGATTTCGCCCAAATACTATCAGAGATGGATATTAAATTCAGAGGTCTTACCTCTTAAATAACTTTAAGGTGTTGATAGGGCATTAAAACTTTACAATGACCAGAGATCTGCCGCAAGCTGACATAACGCCTTTTTTTTTCATTTTTGGAGCCAAATTTTCTTTATTAGCAAAACTGAACCCCTGATCATTCAACCCTACTTGTGTGAAAAAAATCAAAGCAAAATTGAGACTAGTTTTTGAATAAATTAGAATCAAAATTTCGAAAGAACACTTAAAAAAGGCTATTTATTTTGAAACTGTTGTCAATAAAAAAAGGTGTTTTGTCTGTGTACAGCGGAGATCTCAAGGTCCAGTCTCATCACAGCACATTCCTAAGAATGTGTTTGGTTCAACAGTCACACAGCGTATACAAGGCAAACACTGCCGAAGAAGGAGACAAAGCGGTGAATGGCAGTTAGAAATCTTTTCTACACCTTGGTTTAACTGGAGGTCTTCCAGGTATCCATGTTCTTTCTAAAGGATATGAACAATGGTTTGGGAACTACACCAGAAAAAAAGAAATGCAAACATGCAAAGATACTTTACTCAAATGTACGCAGTAGTGCTTTCCATTAAAATAACAAATATGGTAGAAAATATCATAACCAAGGGGTAGAAAAGGTTGTTGACTAGGCCTTGCTGCTGTTGATATTGTTGATGTTGTTGTTGTTTTAGTTTTTGTTATTGTTGATGGTTGTTGATCTTTTTCTTCTTCTTCTTGTGTGTGTGTGTGTGTGTGTGTGTGTGTGTGTGTGTGTGTGTGTGTGTGTGTGTGTGTGTGTGTGTGTGTCTGTGTGTATGTGTGTGTGCACGTGTGTAATGTATCTATGTGTTACACTAAAAAAACTGAATGATGAGATGACATCTATGTTCTTTCTTTGTCCTAATGGCATCATTATCATGCTGACATGTTGCAGGACCTGGAAGAATGTTGAACAAAATAATAAACAATCAAGTAAGCCGTACCTTTTCTCCTGGGTTAATTGTGCAGGTAAGACCTCGAAGAACAAGGTCGAGACCTGGACGATAGCGGGTACTGTAATTCAAAAACTCGATTTTCCCTTCAGAGGGCCAATGGCTAGAGTCTTTTTTGTCTTTGGAGCTAACCCAAGAAGCCTGAAAGGTATTGAAACCAGAATGATGAGAATAGACACAAAGAGCAATGAAATGAGTAACAGTCACTTGTGTGTACATAGGGCAATCGATTAGATAACAGCCCCCTCCCCCCCTTTCTTTTTATTTCGAAATAAACTAAACAACTGCAGTTAAAGCACCGCTGTAGAGAAAAAAACAACTGCAAAACCATCCAAGCCAAAAAAAAAATAATACAGTGGAGTCCACTGAAATAATGAGAAGTCTTTTATAAAGACATTATTCAAAACCCCCGTTCTTTTTCCCTTCTTTATCTTTGTAAATAAAATACTGCTTTAGCGCAATCAGAAAAACATTCGAGTCGGTTTTAGCGGAATATTGCTGCTGCTGTGCACAGCGTATAGGCCATAATTTATACTTGTAAAAGCTCGTGAGTTGAGAAACTTGTTTGTGATCAAGCGAAACAAAGAACGGGAGCGCCCATGTGTGCCAACAATGAAGGCGGAGCGAATGAGTTGGGAGGGTGTGGCGTGCGCAGACAAGCCGTTATGAAGCAGAACGCATTGTCTGATAGTGATAGGCCAGCCTAGTCTAGATTATCTAGGCCTATCATGCCTCTCACTTCTCCGATGCGGAGATGGAGAGGTCACAGAGCTGTGATGGATCATGGAGCGAATGTGTGACGTGTGCAATCAGATGCAGGAACGCACCACAGGGTGTGAAGGGGTGGGGGAAAACACAGCGGGCGAGTTAGCCTAGAGAACTTTCGTTCTTAGCCAACACCGAGCTGTCAACATCACTAACGCTAGAGAAAGAAACCTGATTCAATTTTTGATCAAGTATAAGACCTAGGGCTAGAGGTTACGTTGGACAAAACCATCATCAGAGTAGATAACAAAAAGAAATAAACAGAACACCAAACCCATAGATTAGGCCTACTTTATTATTTCCTTTGAATTTATTACTGGATCCCTTACAACGAGAATCCTGCTATAACGGACATTCCATACGGTTTTCCTCCCTCCCTCTCGTTATAACAGGATTCCACTGTACCCCTTTTGACGCCAAACAAATCTCTCTGCCTAACAACAACAACAATAACAGCAACGACGACAACAAGCAAACAAGAGCTGCACTCATATAAATACTACATCAAAAAATAAAAAAAACAACATATAAAAGAAAATCACTCCCAACCACCCCCCCCCCCCCCCCCCCCCAAAAAAACCAAACAAACAAACTGAAAAAAGCCCAACTAAAATAGACAAGGAACTAAAAGAGGACAACAAAAAAATACCCCAACGTGCCAAAGAAACTTTAAAACAAGGAGGTAATCTTTGACGAAAGAAAGAGATGTAGTCAGTGTATTATGGCTCTACGAATAAATAGTATTTGGAAAGAAGACATCAATCTGAACAGTTACTACAAAGCTGAGCGAGCCTTAGATGGAATGTGAGACAACAAAGTGAACCTCAAGTTCTAAAAAAGGGTCAAGGCTGTCCAGACTCCAATCACTTTGTGCTGCTGTGACATTGGCTATCATAACTATCAACATTTTTAAAAAAGATTGATTTATATTAGATATCACGTCTTTCTTGCATGCCTACAAATAAACAAAAACTTAAACTACGCAAAGCAAAAAGCAAACAAAATTCAGTAGGGGAGGTGTGCAGTACCTCACTGGCAAGTACCGAGTACTCTCTCATCCTCTCCACAGACACTACGTGGGTCTCCACGTCACCAAAAATACGAACTGTCAAATTGAATTGAGTTGAAATCTGCAAAGATAAGAAAATATGGCAAAAGTAACTTTTAACCCCCCATTCTTTAAATAGGTTGAAAGTGTATATTTAGCCCGTGACGTCAAGGCAACACAAAATATAGCCCTGTGGAGAAGGGAGACCCTTAATCATGGATGTACATCCTATATCAAGAAAGTTCTGAAAAGAAAAATTAGCTTAAACGATATAATAACTGATTCTTTGATCATGATTATCCCTTTTTCTTCATTTATGGTATAAAATCTGAAAAAACAACAACTCAAACCATCTGCATAAGTACTTGTTCATTATAAAAGTGTATAGGGATTTAAGTTAAGCACTTGATGAGTATAAATCAACTTAGTGCCATTCCCTTTTATTTCATACTATTGTTAAACAACATTATCCACAATAACTTTCTATATGGGCTGAGTATATAGAGACAGTACATAAATACATAAAATGAACTGAAAACCTGAAATCTTCAGTTGGCTTATTTGGAAAGAAAGATACGGAGAGAGAGAGAGAGAGAGAGAGAGAGAGAGAGAGAGAGAGAGAGAGAGAGAGAGAGAGAGAGAGAGAGAGAGAGAGAGAACAAAGAGAGAGAGAGAGAGAAAGAGAGAGAGAGAGAAAGAAAGAGAGAGAGAGAAAGAAAGAGAGAGAGACAGACAGAGAGAGAGAGACAGAGAGAGACAGACAGAGAGAGAGAGAGAGAGAGAGAGAGAGAGAGAGAGAGAGAGAGAGAGAGAGAGAGAGAGAGAGAGAGAGAGAGAGAGAGAGAGAGAGAGAGAGAGAGACAGACAGACAGACAGACAGAGAAAGAGAGAGAGCGTGAGAAAGAGAAGGCTGACAGACAGACAGACAGACAGAGACAGACAGACAGACAAACAGAGAGAGAGAGGAAGTCAGACTGGGTCAAAGCAGCCAGTCTCCCAAACAAGCACTGCTGGGGCATAAAAGATTTACATTTATGAAGAAAACTTTTTTCTTGTAGTTGGCATACCCTGAGGGCGTAAGTGACAGCAAGGCCGACCAGGGCGGGGGACATACTATCACGTGACAGGACAGAGAAAAGGCCCGCAGTCAACACCACAACACATGAAATTGCCATCAGACGGGCCTGCAGCCATCTAAGGAAAGAAAGTAAAGCATGTTTATGACTTGAATAGGAGGAATCATTAGGAGTACAGTTGAGCACAGATAAAATGAACATACATAGAAAGCTCAAAATCACTGACAGCTTGTATACAATTTGCCATTCCCTGATTTGGTATTTTTAAAATTTCTCATTAGGGACTAATCTGCATTATGGACGTGTTGAACACATTTGTTCGTTCCTGATGCATTTGAGTTACCTTTGCCATACTATATTTGAAGGCTACTAATTCATATTATAATTGACTATAGCGTCTAGCTGTTGCACCATAGATGTCAGCTTCTTGTTAGACAGAGATACAAACAGTCAACCGCTTGTCCAAGACGATTGCCTGCTCAAACAACCACTGTCCACTTTCCCCTTTGAGTTTCTGTATTATAACGACACTGTCCCAAAGGACCACCTTTCTATGATGACCACTTTTCTCCTTAGTAATGAGTAAGTGCCTTGAACAGGTTTGACTGTACATGATGTAAGATTCTGAAGAATTTTCTGTTGACTGCTTGCAAGAAGGACATGGTAAAGTTCATGTTCAATTTATGAGATAGCAAAATAAGTATACCAGTTGGTTAACTTAGCTCTGCACCACAGACAAAAGAAAAACATCTCTTTGGTACACTATATCTTTTTGTACTTAGCCTACATAAAGTGTGTACAGTCAAACATCATTGTACTGTCCCCCGTTATACCGTCAGCCCCGCTTACCGTCAGGTTTTGCCAATGTACGAAAAGACTCCACTATATAAACATAGTATTTGAGCTTTTACACCACCATCCGTCAACTGTCTCAGTTGTACGATCCTTGTTAAACTATTGTAAATTTACCCCGTTGCACCAGCAACAAACTGGCAGCCAGAAGTGCACACTACACACTAGGCAACACACGGCGCAGAGTAGGCCTACATCCGCTTAGTGGATGCTTGATGAAAGTACTGTAATTAGTTATGCAAAGACCTTGAAATTGTTCATAGCAAGATCTGTTTCAGGACTTATTTAATCAAAGCTTCTGACTGCTTATGGAGTGGGCCGAAAGGGGTGAACAGGTTATTTCTGTGGCAATGAAACCGTTTTGAATGTT